AAAGTCACATTGTTTTGTAGGCTTCTTAATAAGATAGGCTTTTAGTAGCCATCACTGATTGAACCTGGGCTTCCCTACTTGCAGTGTGAGCATTAAAGGAATACTTGTTTTTTATATTTGGCTATATTGTTGCAGGAGTTTTTTACATGAATAACAGAAAGGAAAAGAGGAATAATACAGGTAGTCCCCAATTTAAGAATGAGTTCTGTTCCATCTGTCCTCAAGTCAAATTTATATGTAAGCTGGAACTGCATTATTGTATAATAGTGTTTAAGTAGTATTGTGTAATTAACTTGAACCACTGTGTATTTAACTCAAATCATTGTGTATTTAACTTGAATTTTGCTACAATTGGTTCTGTTCTTAACTATGGCACGTTCTTAACCTGGGGACTACCTGTATCTACAATTTCTCACACTTCACAGACCCAGGAGAAGAGTGTAGCAAGCAACATAAATTGGGAGGGAAGTGAATTTGTTTTCCTCCCATTTTTGCATCTTTTCAAGTCTAATTTGCATGTGAACATAGTAGAGTTATCAGTGGTTAGTAAGTTGGTTGGATGGTAGTTATATAGAAAATCTGTTTCTGGAAAGGGATATGACCCTTATTATCTCTAATGTACTTCATATGTGGCTGTTTCTGAAGATGAGTTAGTGCATAATGTAGCAGCCAGACTGCTTAGAAGTCAAACCCAATTTTGTTGGATAACATTGATTTTAAAGTCACTGCGTTTGTTGCCAGTAGGCTCCTAGGCCCAGTTTGGAGTGCTGGTTGCTACCTTTATACTTATGTGGTATACCTATGCATTTAGTTTCTTTTTCCTAAAAATTTTCCTTTGCATTTGTTCCAACTAAATTTCATTATTTTATTTTAAGCCTATTTCTCTTAATTATGAAGATCATTTCAAATGCTTTCTCTACCTCCTATTGTCCCAGCCAAGTTTGTGTCATCTTTAAATTTGAACACACATTCCATCTATCTTGTCATCCAAGCTGTTAGCATATTGAAGTGTAGAGGGCTCAGGATTGAATCTTGTGGTACCAGTTTTGCTTTCTCCACTTTGACAGAGAATTGTTGATGAGCACTTTAACTATGACTTTTAAGCCATCCAGCCCATTCTGGAATGTCATCTAGAATGTCATGAAGTACTTTGCCAAATGTTTGGGTGAAATGAAAATATATTATATCCATACTATTCCCATAGTTTTTTAAGAAAGTTACTGAATCAGAAAACTAGGTGAGTTTAGTTTGGCAAGACTTGTTCTTGAAAAATCTGGCCTTAGGGATTTAAACTCTCAAGGGTTCAAATAGATATTCCCTGATCAAGTTGCTGTCAATTTCAAGTTTCAGTGAAATTCTTTTCATTCTGCTGTATACAACTTTATGACAGAACACAAATCTTAGTGGAAAAGACTGAAAGAAAATAGGAATTGACTAACTCTGCTCTTTATTTATGTCCTCTTAGCATTTTGCTGTCTTTACAGTATTGTGCAATTGGTATACTGATCTTTTCTCTTCCTTTTTAAAAAAACTATCTGAAAAACCTCTTTTTATTATTCTTAGCATCCTTTACTAGATGATTTTGAGCTTTAACCCTTCTGATACCATGTCTGCAATTCCAAGCTAACAATATGTGCTCCTCATTGGTGGCTTGTCCCTGTTCAATGGTAAGAGTGCCATTTTATTTTATTGGCAGAACATCACAAAGGTTTTGTGCAGTTCATTAGCTTCTTTTGCCAATTTTTTTTCTCTCACTGGAATAAGTTTCTTCTAGTACTTCTTATTTTAGGAAACACTTCACTTCCCATCTTGAGTTCATTTTCTTATTTGTTTCTTTTGCCATAGGAAATTATTGAACATTACTCTGACTTTACGCATTAAAATCCACTTTCATGAAGTCCAAAATATGTATTTGCTTGCACTTTGTGTGTGTGTGTGTGTGTGTTTTAATAGATATATATATAACAAGAACTCCTGAATTATGTGGTCACTTTCCCCCTAAGGTTAGTGATCCTTCCACTAGCTAATTCTTTTGTACCTTCCTTCACATTCTGAATGCAAACATTGCAACTCTCTGAATAAGAAATTTGTGAGCAAGATATGTCAGGAATGTCCTGAAGTGAATATATTTGGTAGAGTTTGGTAGTTCCCACAGTTGGAATGATTCAGGTCTTCCATCTTTACTGTTTCATACCCCTTTGAAAAATCTGCAGTTTGCTTTTGGGAAACATCACTTGCAATTTCTATTCAGTTGGGTGAACGTAATAGAATCTATCACAATATTGCTTATTTTAATATAAATGTTTTCAACAGTATTATCAAATTCATTCCCTTGGATTTCTGAACAGGGGTGGATATTTTTTAACACATTCTGGTACTCTTTTTATTGATTATGCTGCTTTAAAACAAATAGTATTTTTCAGTTGCTGTATTCCAATCATGGGAGGCTCATTCTACCAGATTTCAGTTTATTTACTTTTTTATTAATTGTATATATTGCCTTTCATTAGGAACTCAAAGCAGCTTAAAGTAGCCTACATAGTACTTCTTCCTCATTTTTTTATGACAGTAACTCTGTGAAGTAGATTGGGCTGAGACAGACTGAGTTATATCTATAAAGTCATATTTCCCTTCCTGTACTAAGAGTTCAAACTCACATTATTTCTATATGAAGAAGATACAATGCATTAGACCTCTGATCTGAAATTGCATTTTGGATTTTCTGATATGCTAAAGCTGGGTTATTATCACAACCTGATTCAGTGTGTCAGCTGATGATCAAAGTGAAGAAACTACTAGTGGAAATTAATCTGAAAGAAATGTGCATATGACACATATAATTAACATAATTTATATGCACATTGAAAAGCCAAGCTACTTTCACTTACTGCATGATAATATTAACCTACAATATTCAGACTCCTTGTTACTTCTAATAGGAAACATCTTGTACTGGTTCTCTAAAAACAATAACTGGATGATGCAATAGTAAGAGGAAGTGGGGAAAATAGAAATGATGTTTATTTTGCTGTCTGGCCTATGCTCACTTTAAAAAAATTCTTGCATGTTCAGGTTTCTTTACTACTA